ACCATAGAGATTGTAAGATCTGAACACAGATCTGAAGACAGACTCAACTTCATACAGCAAAAATTTGAACAAGTACTGAGTTCAGCACCAAATGCCACAGTGGCTACTGGGTTTTCGATGGAAAAGGTGAGATCTCAATTTTAACTATATCACAATAGCAAATACTCAACATTGCACTCAATGAAGTATGACTAAAGTAAATGGGGAGACGGGGAAAAAGAATTAGGGTGTAGAGAATGGCCTTATGTAATTTTATTCTTGACAGTTTGGCCAGAGGAAATAGAAGACCCCGATTCAACTGAGTAACAGCAGTTGAAGTTATTTTCCTCTGCTCGCTTCTGCTATGGCTGATTAAACTATATAGGCTACAGAAGATAAAAGGATTCAGAAGAAATATATTAAGCCCTTCACATTGCTTTCGAAAATTAAAGCAGGTAAAGGAAAATATAATTCTGAAGAACTCAGTTTATCACTTTTATTTTTAAGAGTAGAGACACTTACCTGCTACTGTCAAAGATAATTATAAGGAGCCACAGAAGAGTGCGCTCAGATTATTGCCATGCAGTTACTAACATACTAACAAACTGCTAGGCTTGCCATTTCAGCATAATACAGAAGCCAAAGGAGCAAACTCAAAGGCAGAATCTGCACTGATCTATACCTACTCGCACAGTGAGTAGGCAGTTGAGGTGGTTAGCTGTATTGGGAGCATCTGCAGTGAATCTGCTGGCAAGAGTTTTTTGTCTCTTTTTAAGCATACAGAGGACTTACAATTTGAGGTAATGCACAATAAGCAGCTGAAGATGGAGTCCTGCAATTTTTTAAGAACTGGATTGTTGACACAAAAATAGTCCAAGTGCTATCAGGAAGGAGATTTGCAAAGTTTGAGCTAATAACATTTATTGCTTCTGTGATTAATACACTTTTACCAAAGAAGTGACTTCAATTTTTGTTAAGTAATAAAAACAGCAGTTACTTAACACATCATTAAGGAAACACATCTGTTCAATTTTCATAATAATCAGATTTAAAGAAATCTGATAAATCAAGGCGACTACATGGCATCTGCATTTTCACACACTAGGTGGCTAAAAACCACATGAACATTTTTTTTTTGGCTCCGAATCTATCTTTCGGAACGAGTACAGAAGAATAAAGTACCTAATATAGCTTAAAGAAAATGGTGAGAGATAAACAGGTTAAGTGGTCTAGTATAGCAGGAAAGAAATAGAAATTTGTTGGAGGATTTGGGGCAACTATCTTCAAGTTTTCCAAGACTTGAGACAAGTTTGTAGGTCAAGGTCTGTCTCGAGCTTTGCTTCTCTTATTCCAAAGTCCCTGCGATGCCCTATTTGAAACACAGAAATTCATATTTGAAAAGTGAAGTGGATTTTTAAGAAGGGTATGCATGCATATTTCTTCAGAAGTTCCCAGACTAGTCTCTTCCACTCTCCTTCCTCCTGGAAGGAAGATTTGAGCTTTCAAATTACCAATCCATTCTTGATAGACTATCCTTGAAGTATATATGGAGGAATTACCCCAAAATGAAAAGCAAAAAATAAATATCAGCTCACACAACAGCTTATTTGCTCCCCAAAATATCAATCACAGCCTTGTTTCAGATTTCAAATATTTCCTTGTAAGAAAGTTGTTTCTCTTTGGATGACAGGCAAGGACACTAACTCCTGAGCAAATTCTTAAGACTCTTAGCAAAGGGGTGGGGATTCCCCCTCTTTTTCTGCAAGGCAGGGCAGAAGGGAGGAAAGGCAGAAAGAGAAGAAAAAAATAAGTTAATGGAAAAAGTAAGGATAAAGTCTCCAAGAGATAACCACTATAAAGAGCTTAATAAAAATGCTCAAGAGCGTCAATGGGGTCCAGAGGATATATAAGAAAGCAGTGTCAGAAAATAGAATTTCTACCAAGAATCATTGGTTGCATACTCAATGCAAAAGCAAGCCACTTACATGATAGCCCTCTACCTACATCCTTGCTGTATTTTGCTAGAAGACAGAAATATGCATATCCTCTACTAGCCTATCAAGCTCAAGATTTAAGGGACAGGGGAAAGTGAGGATTAAAATGGTATATCCTAGATACATAGAAACCAGCATAACAAAGATAGGCAGTTTCTAAGTCTATTTAGAAAAGTCAATACTATAATTCACAGAAGACACAATTTCCCTTGGTCACTAAATCAACATACTTATTTCATTATTAAGTGTATTCCTCATAGGAATGACCTTGCCTCCATCATCTTCTGAAGTCCTGCAGTGCTTGGGAGAATATCTTGCAAATTTGTTAAGTCTGCTTCACATTCAAGACCACATTCTCTTCTGGATAAGAGTAGCTTATTTTCTCTTGATGTTTTTTCATAGCTCATCAATTTTATTCAAAATAAATAAATAAATAAATAAATAATACAACCAGTAGGCTAGCTGCCACTTGATTTTGCTCCTTGATGGCAAATTGAACAAGTTTTTCATCCCAAGCTGAGATCACAAGTGATCTCGAATTCTCTACTGAAGACCAGGTTTAGCTCAGTCAATACTTCTGTAACCAGTAACAATAACTGAGTACCCACCCCGACAAGGGAGAGCCTCTTCTTCCTGCATATTGACCACATCATTTTCAAAACAGCAATTAGCCTAATGATAAGATTATTTGGTGACAAGTCAAGAAAGTTCCTCCAAAAGTAAAACAGAATCCTCACAGTGAATCCTGGTGCAATCACAGAGAGGTCTTCCAAGCAGGTAGGCCTTTTTAGCTAAAACAAGCTTGGGATAATCCACCAATCTACAGGACTAAAGCAATAGTAATAATATTTAGTCTTCTTCAACTACAAACCAAAAGACAGTCATAAAATTTCAACATGACAGGATCTATTTGGAGTATGTGCATGGCATGGGCATATATTTTACTGGTTTCATAGGAACAATAAAAGAGTTAAGTGATAACCACTTCTTTCAAGGGCAGAGCCCAAAAAAAAAAAAAAACACATTTAGCTTCAAGAGTTAATAAGTAACTCTTCATCTACAAATGAAGGATAAAAGCCATACATACTTCTTAATAACATTCCTGAAGCTGTAGCCTCAGGAACTACAGGAAACCTGACAAGGAAACAAGTAGGTAAGTTATAAGAAACAAGAACATCTGCTCAGAGCTCTCAGTATTGACAAATGTTTTTTTGTTTGTTTGTTTGTTTGTTCTTTTTATAATGTCCCATCTAGTCAGCAACACAAAATACATCCAGAGCTGAAGGTCTGAAATTTTCTGCGTTTGTTTCATTTGCCTCTTATTTTAGAATCTGATTTTGACCGCATGAGACCACAGTTACTGGTTAAATTCACACATAACAAGACGAGAAAGAAACAACAAGAAGTTGAATATGAGAACTCCAAACGCATACTAGTCAGCATGTCTAAACTTAAACTTGTGCAACATATAACTGCACCAGCAAATTAACATTATTGACAGGTAAGTCTGTGTTAAATATTAAGCATCCATCCCTTTCAGTTAGGGAGACAGGAGAGAATGCTCCTGATAGGTGTTTCAAGACAAACAGCAAAGATGCCTTAAAGAAAAATACCACACTGTTCAGGCAGTCTTTATAACTCACAACAGCAGTAGAGAGAGGCAATTATCTCCCCCTTTTAATCTAACATAAATAACCTTTAAATGAATCTTACAGTATGTCCAAAAGATATATTTCAGATTATTACTGAAGGAACACTTATCAGCATAAGTAAGATTTCTTTAAGTTTCATTACATGAGTACTGAAGAGCACATTACATTTATCATTCACCATCATTCCATTTTCCATATCTTTGACACTGGAGGGAGATTAGTCAGCTTCACTTATCTATGGTCTTGGCACTAGCGTGTGATTTAAGTAATTAATCATATTAGAAGCAAATATACTGCAAAACCCTCATATAAGTTTCTGAATCACAGTTTGAGATTTAATTTCACCTGACCCAGTCTTGAACACTTAGAGCTGGTGTTGCACAAAGCATTATGTGGCCTCAACAAACTTTCAGCAGCATGATATTTACACCATTAAACTTCAGGTTTGTTTTTATACTGGCATACACAATGAAATAAGCCTAATCACTGACACCTCCGATTCTCTGGAACAACATTAAAAGAACAGATTTTAAGAGCCAGAAATAGCAATTATGCCATCTACACTAATTTTGTCTCCTGCACATCACGGGCTAATAGTGTCTGGGACACTGCAAGAAATCTATATCAGATAACTGTTCTGTGTATACTATTCTCCTTCAAAGAAGTGCTTTGAGTCAGGAGGCAAAACCCAGAAAAAGGATTTAGCAGTTTCTCAACTACTTATAGTATTCCCATAGATGTTCTGATAGCCTTCCCCCCCCCCCCCCCCCCCCCGCCCCGTAACTGTAAGGGTATTGCCTAGCACAGAAAACAATCATCTACGCACTAGATGAGAGCTCAGCCTTAACCTTACAGTCCTGGCTACTTAAGAAGGCCAAAATTCAATTCCTCTTTGAAAAGAAGACAAGGGGACACAGCTACCACAGCAGCTGAAGGATGCTTGGACAGGCACAACTCAGAAGCTGGAATGCATTGGGAAGCCATAATGCTGCTGCAGAGAGTAGCAGCAGCAGGATGTGATGGACTATCACTTTTCATGGGCCTGTCCAAACACTGAAACACTTCTATACAGGACCCTCTTTACAGAGATGATAACATAACTTCATAATTTTTATGCTTGCCAGAGAGGTTTTTTTTAAAAAAAAAAAAAAAACAACAACACCATAAAATTACCTTTAGAAACAGATAGGTTGCAAAGGACAAGGGGAGGAAAGGGGGATAAAACACCTGAAAACTACATTGCCTATGCCAGCTAGAAGCCCTTTTGAAGGGTCTCTCTCAAGCCCAGTCCCACCCCACCCCGGGATGCTGCTCATGCTGCCACACAGCAGCAAAAGTGACACACCACATCCTTACTGAAAACCAAAGCACTTACCTGTGCCGGTGCTCGTCGTGCCCTTGCCCATGGATCAGGAAGCTTCCAAGGCTTTTGCCCCCTTTGCTGGTATCCACGTGAGGAATCAGCACATCCTCCAAACCCAGGTCAAAGCGTTTGTGCTTCGACGAATCAGGCAGAAAGAAGAACGCCCCGAAGCACAGCGTGATGAAGGCACTAAGAATAAGGAGGAGGATAAATTTCTCGGAGAGTCTCAAGGTAGCCCTATGGTGCGGGAAGGAGGAGGTACCCAGGTTGAGGGCGGGCAGTCTCCGCCCGGACAGCGGCAGCAGGGCGGGAGTGGTCATCCTTCCTCTAACGACCACTCGCTGGGGCTCGGCGCATCGCCCGGCGCGCCGCCCCTCAGCCCGTGCGGAGCCTGGCGCTCCCAGCGCCTTCTCCGCTCGCCTCGGCCGCCTCCCGGCGCGGCGCGGGAACCCGGGGCGGCGTCACCATCCTCCCCGCAGG